CCAGAGGTTAGTATTCCAAATATTTTGTGAGTTCTTATCAATTTTTTAAAATCTGTAAAAAAAAAAATAGCTGGCAAAAATAGGATTTGGTAATTCAAAGAGAAAATGTGAATGGGCCGGGTGCGGTGGCTGGCCGGGAGCGGTGGCTCACGCCTGTAATCCCAGCACTTTGGGAGGCCGAGGCGGGTGGATCACGAGGTCAAGAGATCAAGACCATCCTGGTCAACGTGGTGAAACCCCGTCTCTACTAAAAAAAATACAAAAAATTAGCTGGGCATGGTGGCGCGTGCCTGTAGTCCCAGCTGCTCGGGAGGCTGAGGCAGGAGAATTGCCTGAACCCAGGAGGTGGAGGTTGCGGTGAGCCGAGATCGCGCCATTGCACTCCAGCCTGGGTAACAAGAGCGAAACTCCGTCTCAAAAAAAAAAAAAAAAAAAAAGAAAATGTGAATGATTAATAACTTACCAATAGGGGAACACAAATGAAGCCACATTAAGGTACAATTTCAGTCCCATCAGATGGGCAACATTTTAAAGTGACATTATGAAAATTTGCTGAGGATGTGCAGAAATGGAACTCTCATCAAACTGGAGGTATGAGTGTACTTTTGTATAATCACTTTATACAGCAATTTGACAGTATGAAATATACTTAAAGATGCATATATCCTACAACCTAGCAATTCCATGTGTATATCTGTTCTCCAAGAACAGTGATTCTCCTAGTGTGTTCCAGAACTAGCAGTGTCAGCATCACCAGGGAAGTTATCAGATATGCAAATATTGGCCTGGCACAGTGGCTCACACCTGTAATCTCAGCACTTTGGGAGAAAAGTGAGGTGGGTAGATCACTTAAGGTCAGGAGTTCAAGACCAGCCTGTTCAACGTGATGAAACTCTGTCTCTACTAAAAATACAAACACTAGCCAGGTGTGGTGGTACATGCCTTTAATCCCAGCTACATGGGAAGCTGAGGCAGGAGAATCGCTTGAACCCAGAAGGCGGAGGTTGCAATGATCCAAGATAGCGCCACTGCACTCCAGCCTGGGCGACAGAACATGACTCCATCTCATAAATAAATAAATAAATAAATAGTAAGATATGCAAATGTTCAAGCCTCCTCTCAGATTTACTGAGTCAGAAACCTGAGGTAAGAGAGGGATTTGATTCTGATGCACATTAAAGTTTGAGAACCGCTGCTGCAGAGAAATTCTCACACAAGCCCCAGGGAGACAGCTAGAAAAGCAAATAAAGTATAATTTAAGGTCTAAAAAGTGCTGCAATGTATGTATTCAAATTCCAGCCCCACCATTTCTTTCTTGTCCTTTTGATCTCAGGAAGCTATGTAGTTTTTCTGTATTATTACCCATTTATAAAACAGTGATTAATATACTTTGTTCTGCATATAGTTGCTGTGTCGATTAATTCACACATGGCAGTTATACTAGTGCCTGGCACAGAGTAAGTACTCAATAAATGTCTGTTATCATTAGGATGTTTGTTGTAGCCTCGCGTGTAACAGTAAAGTACTGGAAACAGTTACTTAAAAATAAGACTGAAGGTAAATATGGAAAAGGTTTAACATTAATAACATTTGGGTGATGAGTCTATAGGTGTTCTTTATTATTCTTGGTACGTTCCTCTGTGTTGAAATGTTTCACAAGGAATGGAGAATAATAGTAAAGTCATCATGTATTTATTCACATCTACATTTCCACAGAAGTATTAGTTTAGGTGAATTTTCATGTCTTGATTTTTAAGGTTTCCATAGAAAGAGGTTACTGAACTTGTGTTATTGGTATAAAATATAAAGCTGTCTGGTCTCAAAATGCTTTTCATGTCGTCCTCCTACAACTTGCATTCATAAATTATAAATTCCCACCAAATTTGCATGAATCTGCCTTTTCCACATTTGTATCTTTTTTTTTTTTTTGCATTTTAGGTTTTGGGGTACATGTGAAGAACATGCAAGATTGTTGCATAGGTACACACATGGCAGCGTGATTTGCTGCCTTCCTCCCCATCACCTATATCTGGCATTTCTCCCCATGCTATCTCTCCCCAACTCCCCACCCTGCACTGTCCCTCCCCTATTTCCCCCCAACAGACCCCCAGTGTGTGATGTTCCCCTCCCTGTGTCCATGTGTTCTCTTTGTTCAACACCCGCCTATGAGTAAGAACATCCACATTTGTATCTTTACACCCACTGTCTCCTCTATATTTACTGCGCTATTCATATTCTATCCATTTTTCAAGTTTTCAGCTGAAATGCCACCTCCCTGATAAAGACGGACCCAAGTCTCTATGTTATAATTTATCTCTTCTGCCTTTCAATGTTCCAGATCTCATTCTGTTTAACACATAGCCCTTGCCACATTTTCCCAACTGTTAGAAATTCCCCCCAGTTTATTTCACACTCATTCTACAGAGGCACATCATTATTTTTAATGGAGCAAAAGTTGATACAATCTCAAAAATGTCAGAACAAACTGATTTAAATATGATTTAAATACTGATTTCAATTCAATGAATAGACACATTAGATGCTAGCCATGGAACTCCTATACTCTTGACTTCACTGGCTAGTGAGCAGAAATTGTGGTATTCTGGGTCCCCATTTTCTTGCCTGGTAGTAATTAAAAAGTTGCTGCAGGGTTTCTCAATCCAAATATTCTTGACAATTCTGAAATAGTGGGTCCGGGAGAAGAGTACTTTTCCTCTAAGAGTCTGGGGGAAGGTGGTCTGATAGTGTAGGAGGGATGATCCCTCTCATAACTGGAACCTTTACTCCCAGTTTTGTGGTTCCTCTGCTGGGCAGCTGCTCTGGATCCATTTGAACCCCACTGGTGGTTGCGCACTTCCTCCAGAGAACTGACCTTACTGCCTGTTCTCAGGCCAGCTGGGAAACACATCTGTTAATCTCACAAATCACTTTTCAGAGAAATTCCGGGTGGATCTGCTGGGCTTTGTCCTTCCTAAAGCAGAAGGAGCACCTCCAGGAGGGGTTAGGGAAGCAGTTGGAGGTGGATCAGGCAAAGCCTTGCAGTATACCTCAGATCCTTGCTTATTCATACCTCTGAACTTCGCTGCTTTATCAAGCCCACTCTGCAAGGCTTCTCTTATTTTCAGTAATAATCACATATTTCTCTTCAGGGGAACCCCTTCTCCATCATACAGGTTTGTGTTTGTGTGAATTCCAATTCTGGAACATAAGCTGGTTATTTCCCATTATATTCCTGACCAACGTGGTCTTTGCAGACAGGTTTTGGGCCTCCTTGATCTCTTATCAGCTTGCCTCCCCAACCACCTCTCCAACAACCAGTGTTCAGTATCATCTGAAGAAAAACTATGTAAATGTTGAAGAAATGTCATATAATTCTCTTTTACAGCCTAACTGACACACTGAAATCTCTCCTATATGGAAATTCTGCAGTCATAATTGAAATAAAGGGAAGTGGCTGATGGTTCTTTAAAAATGGCAATATTCTTACAGAAGGATGCAGGAGGGGACCTCTAGGGGGCGACGTTATCTAACAGAATTTCACAGTTGTTTTATTCGGAACTACCCAGTTTACGTTCTCCATTGCCTAACTTCCTGTGTCCTCTCCAGAGTTCTTTCCTGGCCTCTTATATTTTCTGCTTCCTCTGGAGGGCACTGATTGCACCTATTAACATGTAATAACTGCTGGCCTGCTTCTTGCCTTTTGATAGTTTATCTGACTTAGATCAAGTGATCTCCAGCTGAGTCCATCCTACATTTATATTATTATTTGAGAAATGCAATCCAGTTTACTAAGTACATATATGTCCCCTGTACTTTTCTGGTTTAAAACTGTTTGAATTAATATCAGCACTCAAATAACTCAAATTCCTAAACACACAGATTTTCTTGTGATTCTTAATTGCTACCATGCTTCTGAAAGTACGCTTCCCATTAGTATTGCTTTAGTCACAACTAATGTTTGAGGCTACTAACCTTTTATCTTTCAGAGTCTGGCATAGCGATTCACATACAGTGAGATGGGTGAATGAATGGGTGGATACATGGATAAACGCAATACCTTGTTCAGGATATTAGGAGTTTGACTTGGATAATAGGCAGCACAGCATAGCTAAAGAAAGAAACAATTAGTTTTCGGAAATAAATGCATTAATAAATGTAGGAACAACCAGTATTCACACACAATAAAATTCTCCATTTTAAAATATAAAATTCAGTGGTCTTCAATATATCCACAGAATTATGCAATCACCACTATCTAATTGCAGCACATTTTCATCACTCCAAAAAGAGATATTTGTACCTGTTAGCAGTCACTCCCCATCCTCTCCTTTAATTCCTCCCTCTCCATTCCTTAGCCCCCAGCCACTGGCTATCACTAATCTACTTTCTGTCCTTATGGATTTGCCCATCCTGGATCTTTCATATAAAGGGAATCATACAACATGGCCTGTTGAATCAGGCTTCTTTCCTGTATAATCCCATAGCACTTCGAACATATCTCTTTAAAACTTATTTTGCTGAGTTGGGATTATGTGTTTCTGGCCTACCTCCCACTGGACTATTAAGAATCACAAGGACAGATTATGCCTTGTTTATTTCAACATTTGAATGCAGAGCTCAGGGCCTGTCACAGAATGAGCAATCAATAAACATTTGCTGAACAAATGATGGTTTTCCAATTCCAAAATGCATGAAACACCATGTTGACCTCACTCCTTTCATCTCTGATCAGCCTGCAGTACCACCAGAATCCTTGTCTGCAATTTTTTTCATCTCTTTGTTTTGTTTATTTGCCTAAATTTACATTTCCTCTCTCACAAATACAGCTTAAATTCCAGAAAGTGGAGACATGTCCTGCCCCAGGTCTGTATTCACAAAACCATGTTTGCCCCTTGTTTGTGTGGATTAACATTCTGTTTCTCTGAAATCTTTAAAATAAGACCCATGCCTGTGTTCTATAAACTGTAAGATTTAACATTTTCTTTCTTTTCTTCTTTTAGCCATACTTCCCATTCCCTCCAGCTGTTGCACGGAGGTTTCACATCATATTTCCAGAAGGCTTCTGGAAAGAGTGAATATGTGTCGCATCCAGAGAGCTGATGGGGACTGTGACTTGGCTGCTGTCATGTGAGTGCCCTTCAGCAGGGAGATCTAAACCTGCACAGTCATTATTTCCCTGACCAATAAATAATCAGTTGAAAGGCTTTGCTTGATTTCAACATAAAAATAATCATCCAAACAAGGGAGGGAAGAGTAAATATTCTGTCCTTTAGGTCCAGGCTCCCTGGAGTAAATTCATAGTCTCTCTGTGCAGGGATGTCCTGAGCCCCATACCAGCGCACCATCTACGTCCACCCTGTGGTGCTGTGCTTAGGACTAAATTCCCCCAGTCACCAAAAAGATGGACTTAGGAAAGTCCATGACTTTCCTAAGCAAAACAAAATCCCCCCAAAAAGATGACTCTGTTATATTGCATGGCTTTTAACCTTTTTCAGTATATGGGTTGCTATCATTTCTACTTTCTGAATTCATCAGGAGCATATTATAGGTTTCAAAAAGGTAGGCCAGGTGTGGCAGCTTATGCCTGTAATCCCAGCCCTTTGGGAGGCCAAGACAGGAGTATCACTTGAGCCTAAGTGTTCAAGACCAGCCTGGGCAACATGGCAAGACCCCCATCTCTACAAAAAACTTTAAAACTAGCAAGGCATGGCGGCATGCACCTATAGTCCCAACTACTTCGGAGGCTGAGGCAGGAGGATCGTTTGAGCCCAGTTTGAGGCTGCAGTGAGCCATGATTGTGCCACTGCACTCCAACCTGGGTGACAGAGGAAGACCCTGTCTCAAAAAGCCACCACCACAACAACAACAAAAAGACAAAGAAAAACTAAACAAAAAAAGGTTCAAAAAGAAGCATGGAACTATCTGTCAAAAGTGCTATATGCAATCCAATCATAAATGCCAATCCAATCTCTGCTTTTGATTCTGTGGTGTTGGCTCATGGTGAAGCCTCCCACCCCTGCCCCTGGCTCAGTTATTAAAAGCTTTGTTTGTATATGTACTTAACATCTCTGTGGAGGCTCTAACATCTGAACTGCATTGGTATTTAGCAAATCTATATTCTGACAACAATGCTGTGAGGAAGGCATAAATGATCTCCCAATCACACACAGGAGAAAGCTGTGACTGAGATTACCCAGTTCACCTGTGTACAGCTCAGAACCAGGATATGAACCCAGGTCTCCTGGTTCAGAACACTCTATGTCACCAATGTCATTCTAAAGGAGTGATGGGATTAACCATAAAATGGCCTCCCTAAACTCCACTGCATCTGAGTATCAGACATCTCCCTGGCATGCCGGTTTTAACACCATTTGTGGCTCCAGGTGAGGCTAGTGAGCCATTCCCTGCTCTTTGGGCTATAAATAAGCCCATTGCTTATGCCTGAGCTCCTGAGTCACTCAGAAACCTTGTTCTTTCAGTGAATTCAACAAATATTTATGAATTAATGATTATGTGCTAAGCACTGTCCTATGTGCTGGGGATGCAGTGGTGACAAAATGGGTTCTGCCTGCCTAGAGTCTCCAGGGGACTCTTTATCCAGCTGGGTTCTGCAGATCAGCTTAATGATTTGAGATGGTCTCTGGAACTTGAGATGTACTTTTCGCCTGCCTTTCAGAGGGATTTATCCATTATTCAATTTTGAGGAAAAACAGCCCTAAGACAAGGGTTCTTAAAAGTTCAGAGGAAGTTTGTAAGATGTCTGTTGAAAGACTTTCATCAGGTTAGTGGCTGTGAACTTCCTGAAATTTTTGTGTATGAACATGTGAGCATTTTTAGAAGGTCTGTAGGTTTTATAAGATTCTCAAATGTTCTGAGATTAAATAAAGTTTAAAGATCACACTGAGGGTCAGATGTAGGGGAGGAAACAATTCTTGATTGAAACTTGTATTAAGCATGAGCGTCTTTGTGGGAGAAGGGAGAGGACTGAGAATTTTCTCAGCATCTCCTCAATTCAAGTTACCACCTGGCTCCATTGGCTCAGGTGGTTTAGTCATTAGGAACCAGCATCACCCCTGGCACTCCAGGGACTACATACCAATGAGGTGCCTTCTGAGGGGTGCTCCAAGTTCCCAACTTCTTTGGAAAACTCCTTGGTATATGTCTGGCTGAGATTCTACCAGTTTTTTATTTAATCTCAAAGAATATTGTTGGTAATAGAGAGTAAAACATTCACAGACAATTCATGGATAGACAATGCTCTAGGTAGTTAGAAACAACTGGATATTTGTGTCAGGTGGACACAGCTAAACTAAATCTGTCTGAACCTGCTCCAGTTACTCTGAGAAACTCCACATTTTCAACTCCTCTCAATTCCTTCCACCTCGCTGGCATATATCACCTCAGACTTGAAGCTTGAAACTTGTAAGGGCTCCGGTAGGACTCCCAGAAAGGCTTGGAGAAAAAAAACAAAGGAAGTTTCTGTGGATGTATAAGACAGATTCTGGAGGTTATCCAGGGAAGCTATTGGTAACGGTATCTTCAGGGACATTTCTTTGAGATAAGCAGGTGTCAGAGATCTGAAAGGCATAGAACAGAACTGATGTTTCACTGTGATAAAGTAAAATATAATCAGAAACATGAGTCTTCATTTTAAAAAGGACCCAATTTTAATTGAAGAGGAACTAGGAAGCCAATCACTTAGATCTAAAAATATTTACTTTATTTGAGCAGAGCTTGTGAATTGACCTCCCTGTGCTAAGAAACAGAGTTGCTATGACCTAATCTCAAATAAAATCAAATTCAACTCTGTAGTATTTTTTAACCACAAATTACAGATCCTCTCTGTTGTGTTTCCTGATGTTCAGCATAAATAGATAAAGATTCTCTTGTTTTCAGATTACGTTAGTATGGAGCATGTCTTTACTTATCTAAAATATAGTCCCTTAACCCTGACTGGGCACAAAGACTTTAAGGTTTGAGAAAGTGTTTAAGATGCAGAAAGCATTGTTAACACTGGAAATATAATTCCCAAGTAGCATGTATTACTAATAACAATTAATTAATTAATATAAATCAACTTACTGTAAACCCACTAGGCTTCTTTTTCTTTTCTGCCTAGAAATAGGTCCTTTGTTTCGTACCTTATAAATGATCATTGTAATTTTTGATGCCTGAGACAGCAGCTTTCTTGTTCAAACTCCTCTACACTGATTTCATTTAATGAGCTTCTGGATGTTTCTGAACATAAATACAGTAAAAAGTTATTTATCTTGGGCAGAGGGCTGAGGATTCTTGATCAAACAGACATTTTCTGTTGTGAGAAAATTTGAGGTTTTTAAATAGAATTATCTGGAAGACTTGAGTAGTTTTTCAGATGTGGTTGTGAGGCATTGCTGTGTGTAGAGGAATGGGTAAAGGAATAAAGTTTAGGGGATATTGAAGGTATAATCTCTATGGCAGGGCCGCCCCTTTACGTCCATCAGACTATCTCCAGCTACCTTCCTGTGAGTTAACAAAAAAAAAAAAAAAATCAGGGGATTGGCCTCGTAATTTCTTACAGTCAAAACTCTCCACTTACAAACTCACCATTGGGAAGGTGGGGATTGGTGCCCATCAGAATATGGATGTAGGGAGTAGGGAAGGGAATGTGGAATAGGCCCCTCTTTCCAACATTACTACATCTCTTTCTGTGCTGGTAGAAAATACGTGGGATCCAAGTAAAGGTTTATGAAATTTTTAAACTTTAGGATTCTAAAACATCATAGGATCTCAGATTTGGGAGATGTGTTCTGGTAGCTGATTTTTTCCACCTTGAATTACATTGAGAGGCTGCTTTACCAGCAAGTCTTTGAAAAAGCCCACATGCTAGTTGTTGCCTGTTTTCCTATGGTCCTCCACCTCTCTGAATCCTCTGTCTATATCTCTCCCTTCGGGTTCTCTCCTTCAGCCCCAGTGCCGACACCCCTCCCTGAATCCCATCTCTCTTATTTTTATGATGGACTTGAGTTCTAGCTCTTTCCTGTGTAACTTATGGGCTTATCTGCATGTCACTGAAATTGTTTTTTTGAAACGGAGTTTTGCTGTTGTTGCCCAGACTGGAGTGCAGTGGCACGATCTCTGCTCACTGCAACCTCCGCCTCCCAGGTTCAAGCGATTCTTCTACCTCAGCCTCCCAAGTAGCTGGAATTGCAGGTGTGCACCACCATGCCCAGCTAATTTTTGTATTTTTAGTAGAAACAAGGTTTCACCATGTTAGCCAGGCTGGTCTCTAACACCTGACCTCGGGTGATCTCCATACCTCGGCCCCCCAAAGTGTTGGGATCACAGGCATGAGCCACCCCTACACAGCCTGCGTGTCACTGAAATCTTTATCTGCTCAATTTCTTTCTGACATCACAGGGATAGGCAAGAGTTTTAGTCCTTTGGAAAGAGTAGCAGCTTCAATGCCAGTTTTTTGTTGTTGTTATTTTTCCTGTGCAGCAGTGCTACAACCATGTTTTCTCCTATGATAGCGAACCACTGACCATAGTGAGAATTAGGTGTTTTTGTTTGTTTGTTTGTTTGTTTTTTGAAGGCTCTCTATCTAATACACATAGGGAATATATTGTTCTCTTATTAAGATGCTCCACTTCATTCACATTAGTATTCCCCACATGCTGGCTTTACTATGTTAAAGCTCATTTGTAATTTTCCCCCCATTCTCCCCACTTTTCTCCCATTTCAAGAGTCCCTACATTAGTTGATAATGATTCTACTTGGGTCATCTAGAAAAATGGCAGCCTATTCTCTCCTTTTTTTCCCCTGAATAACAGGGTCAGGAGTTTCAGTTTATCTGGACACAGAAACATTGTATATGTAGAGCCAGCAGGATTTGTGATGTTTGATGAGAGATGATGACTCCTCATGGGGAAATTAGAAGTCACAATATCTTTTTCAATAAAAAATTCTTCTAGTTACCAAAAACTGTGGATGCTGCCCTAGCATTCTCCTAGCCCACTGTGAAAACTTCATATAGAAAAATGAAAATGAGCCAGGCGTGGTGGCTCACTCCTGTAAACACAGCACTTTGGGGCCTGGGTGACAAGAGCAAAACTCTGTCTCACCAAAAAAAAAAAAAAAAAAGAAAGAAAGAAACAAAAAAGAAAATATGAAAGCACATTCTGAACTGTGGTATATATCTATATCATATTAAAATGTTAACAAATGCCTAGAATATTTTCAACAAAACTCTCCTTATTTTGAACAATTTTTACTTCATACTATGATGAATTACTAAGTTCCTGCTATGAAAAGGCCTTTTCAAGACACTTCTAGACTATTCCTCCTTCAAGGAGCAGAACTCTAGTAGGAGAGATGAGACAAGTACTCAGATAAAAGACAGAATAAACTAAGTGCCAGAAAAGAGGCAACTCTCGCCATGGAGAATCAGGGGAAAAGGACGGCATTTAGCTGAGAGAATCTACAGAAATCTTACAGATCAGAAAAACCTCAAACAAACCTTAAGGATGTGTTTGAGATGGACAGTGAGGATGAATTGGTTTTGTTGGGTGAAGCTTGAAGTCAAGGGAGAGAACTGTTTTTACTTGGTTTTCATTATTGTCTCTTTTCCTCCTTTTCTTCTTCTTCTTTTTTCTCCTTTCTTTTATCCTTCTGCTCCTCATCCAATTCCTTCTTCTCCTCCTCTTTCTTTTAATACTCTCTGCTAATATCTGAGGACCCACAGGCAGCAGTGTTTGTAAAGTCAAAATTGAAACTTGAGGTGCTCAGCTTAGAATTCACTTCATTTCTACACTGAATTCAGAAATTTAGTCTGAATTTCGTCTCTAGGAGTACAGTGTCCCAAAGTGGAAGCTGCCTGTAAGTCTCTAAGAGGTTATTTATATGTATTTTCTGTTAGTGACTTCCTTTTGCCTCCCTTTCTAACAGCCTTCATGTCAAGCGCAGAAGAATCTGTGTCAGCCCGCACAACCATACTGTTAAGCAGTGGATGAAAGTGCAAGTGGCCAAGAAAAATGGTAAAGGAAATGTTTGCCACAGGAAGAAACACCACAGCAAGAGGAACAGTAACCGGGCACATCAGGGGAAACATGAAACATATGGCCATAACACTCCTTATTAGAGAGTCTACAAATGAATCTGCAGAGACAATTCCTCAAGTGGACTTGGCAGTGATTGGTTGTAAGTTTATCATCCGAATTCTTATTGTCAGACAACAGAACAAAACAAAATATTGGCTTTTAAAAAATGAATAATTGTGGGGTATGCAAATATAGCCAATAATATAATCAACTGGAAAATGAAATGAAAAGATAATACTGGCTGAGTACAGTGGTTCACACCTGTAATCCTAGCACTTTGGGAAGCTGAGTCAGGAGTTTGAGACCAGCCTGGGAAACATAGCTAGACCTCATCTCTCCAAAAAAAAAAAAAAAAAACAATTAGCCCGGCATGGTGGTACTTGCCTATAATCCCAGCCATTGGGAGGCTGAGGTGGGAGGATCACTTGAGTCTGGGAGAGTTTGAGGTTGCAGTGAGGAGCCTGGGTAACAGAGTGAGACCCTGACTCTAATAGTAATAATAATAATAGCACTTATCTTCATATAATATTTTAAGAAGAGCATATAGATATAACTTTTCCAACTTTTAAATTATAGTTCTCCAAACATACAGAGAAGTTAAAAGAATGGTACAATGAACATCTACATATCTTTCACCTAGACTAATCATTGCTAATATTATGTCACATTTGCTTTCTCTCTGTTCTCTTTGTGTTTCTATATAAAATATTATACATTTTTAAATATATCTTGTTTGCCAAACTATTTTAAAATAAGTTGCAAACATCATGACACTTCACCCCTAATTTGTTTTTGGTGTTGTAACTTGATATACCCTAAAATAAAGACATTTTCCTACATAATCACATTGTCAGTTTAATACCTAAAAAATTAACAATTTCATCCAATATATTCCATATTCAAATTTTCTCAGCTATTTTGAGAGCATTTTATGTAGTTTTTTTCAATCCAGTAATCAATCAAGGTTGACATACATATTGCAAATAATCGTTATTTTTCTTTAATATCTTTCAATCTAAGAAAGTTCCTCTGCCTTTTTTTTTCCTTCTCCCCGAAGCATGGACTTTTAAAAAAGAATCTAGACCAGAATCTTTTCCACAATCTGAATTTGTCCGATTATTCTTTTTTTTCCCGTTTAAAAGAATTTTTAAAATTATTTTGTTTAGGGAGGGTCTCACAGTGTCTTCCAGGCTAGAGTGCAATGGCACAATTTTGATTTTGACTCACTGCAGCCTCAACCTCTGGGACACAAGCAATCCTCCCACTTCAACCTCCTGAGTGTCTGGGACCACAGGTACATACCCACCATACCTGGCTAATTTTGTTTATCTTTTGTAAAGACAAGGCCTCATTATGTTACCCAGGCTGGTCTCAAACTCCTGGGCTAGCCCAAGCAATCCTCCCACCTTGGCCTCCCAAAGTACCGGGATTATAGGTGTGAGCCACCATCCCTGGCCTAATTATTTTATTAGGATCAAATTCAGGTTTATACTTTTGGTAAGAATTTCCTATGTGAATTCGTATACTTATTTTGCCATTTACAGTTCATAAATATTAGGGTTTATTTTCTAAATAGAAAAGTTTAAACTAAATATAACTTCAAAACATCTAGTGGGAGTAGCTACTGTCGTTTGGATTGATAAATTCTGATGCTGAAGAAAAAATAAGCCTGCCTTGCTGCCCAGAACCTTTTGCCTCCCCCAGTCACTTCTTGGAGCAGCACTAGTTAGGGGCCCAGAGTGCGGTCTTCTGTGTGGTGATTTTACTCTCTGCCTAAACAAGGAGTCTACATCTTTTAGCTCCTATCTCACCCTTCCCACATGTTGGTGGTTGTTATTGTTTGGTTGGTTTTGTTGAGACAGCATTGAGAACATCCTAGCATTTTGGGAGGCCAAGGTGGGTGAATCACTTGAGGTCAGGGGTTTGAGACCAGCCTGACTAACATGGAGAAACCCCATCTCTACTAAAAATACAAAAATTAAGTGGGCATGGTGGTGCACACCTGTAATCCCAGCTACTCGGGAGGCTGAGGCAGGAGAATCTCTTGAACTGGGAGGCGGAGATTGCAGTGAGTCAAGATTGTCCCACTGTACTCCAGCCTGGGCATCAAAGCAAGACTCTGTCTCAAACAAACAAAACAAAACAAAACAAAACAAAAAGAATATAATATTTGTGTTAATGAGAAAGGACATCTACAACTCATGAAACAATACGGATGTATCTTACAAGCATAGTAATGATGGAACAAGACCAGATACAAATGAGCCAGTATTAGTTATTGCCATAGTTAGGTATGTTTGTTCCCCAAAACTCAGACTGAAATTAGATCCCTATTATTGGAGGTGGGGCCCAGTGGGAGGTGTTTGGGTCATGAGGGCAGATCCCTCATGAATGGCTTGGTGCCATCTTTGTGGTATTGAATAAGTTCCCACTCTATTAACTAATCTGGAAGCAGGTTGTTAAAAAGAGCCTGGCACCTCCCCAACTCCCTTGCTTCCTCTCTTACTATGTGATCTGCACACATTGGCTCCCCTTTGCCTTCCACCATGAATGGAAACAGCCTGAAATCCTCACCAGAAGCAGATGCTTGTGCCATGCTTCTTGTACAGCCTGCAGAATAGTGAGACAACTAAACTTTTTTTCTTTATAAATTACTCAGCCTCAGCTATTCCTTTATAACCTAAACAGATTAAGACAGTTATCCATTGATGTATAACAAGTTACCCCAAAATTTAGTGACTTTAACACATATTTATTATCTCATAGTGTCTGTGGATAAGGAATTTGGGAGTGGGTCAGCTGGATGGTTTTGGCCCAGGATCTCTCATGAAGTAGCAGTCAAAATGTCCACAGGGGCAGCAGGCATCTGAAGGCTCGACTGGGGCTGGAGGATTCCCTTCTCAGATGGCTCACTCACATGTTGTTGGAAGGAGGCCTCATGTGGGTCCCTCCTTGAGCTATCTGAGTATTCTCACAACACAGCATCTGGATCCCTCAGAGAAAGTGATCCAAGAGATAGAACAAAAAGATAGCCTCAGTGCTTTTATGACCTAGCCTTGGAAGTGACTCATCCTGTCTCTATAGGTTATACAGACCAATTCTGATACAATTTGGGTGGGGACTACACAATGGCATGAACATCAGAAGTCAAGGATCACTGGAGACAATTGTGGAGGCTGGAATTATCCATTCTACAAGATTCTATAAATATACAGTATCAAAACTTGTGAAACTAAGCTATGCTGTTGGTTAAGATAATGGTTACTCTGGGGAGAGGGTAGTGACTAGAAGGAGGGAAGAGATAGGCATCTGGGGGTATTGATAATGTTCCGTTGCTTGATATAGGTGTAACTATATGACTAAATTCATCAAGATGTAACTTACATGTTCCTCCATATATATTAAACTTTGACAACTTAAGCAGCATAAGAAAAAGAAGAAAAGAAAGAGAGAAAGCAGCTGGGTGCAGTGGTTCATGCCAGTAATCCCAGCACTTTGGGAGGCCAAAGGGGGCAGATCACTTGATCAAGAGTTTGAGACTAGCCTGGCCAATGTGGTGAAACCCCATCTCTACTAAAAATACAAAAATTAGCTGGTCATGGTGGCAGTTGCCTGTAATCCCAGCCACTCAGAAGGCTGAGGCAAGAGAATCACTTGAACCCAGGAGTCAGAGGTTGTGTGCTGAGGTCACACCACTGCACTCCAGCCTGGGCAACAAATCGAGACTCTGTCTCAAAAAAAGACAGAGAGAAAGCAAGAGAGACAAAGGAAGAAAAAAAAAGAAAGGAAAAGAACTCTGGAATACATCCAGAGGACATGGGATTCGTATTCTGTGAATAGAAAATTAGACCTTCTCAAGAAGATGCTTAGCCAAGTGGCCCAGGGACCCGGTGCAATATAACTCAGAAGGAGAAGGGAGGTCCTGATCCATTTGACTGATCTAGGACACAATACATTGGCAGCAGTCTTATTATTAACATAAGTCTTATTGTTAACAGTCTTAATATCAACATATATTCTTGAGTATATAAACAGTTCGTTCCTTAGTACGTACTTAGTTTATGTACTCAGGAACAGTTTGTTTGTATACTCAGGAATGAACTGTTCCTGAGTATATAAACAGCTAAAAATATTAGAAGCAGCAGGAGTGATACAATTTAGATGTCTCCAATATTGCTCCATTCCTGGGTGTATCATGCCAACCACCAAGAGACAACAGATTGTCTGTGCATTGATATGCCTAGTCATGACCTCATAAGACTGTTGAGAGATTAAGCGATATGATGTGTGAGAAAGTAGTAGGAGCCTAGCTTGTAGGAGGCCCGGGACACATGTTTATGTATTCATTAACTAGTATTTGAATTATATATTGCTGTCTAACTCACCATCTTCAAATTTAGTGGTTTAAAACAACAATAATTTACTATTTCTCACAATTTTCTGGGATACCTGGGGCTCAGTTGGACAGTTTTTATATTGGTCTCACTTGGAGTCTCTTACGTGGGTACAGTCAGATGCTGGGGCCTGGAAAGTCCAAGATGGCTGCACTCCCATATCTAGCACTTTGTGGGGATGACAGGACAGCTGAGCCCTGCACGGTGCTGGGATCACAGCATCTCATCTTTCTCCATAGTCTCAGAGTCCGTCCCTTTCCATGTGGTCTCTTCCCATAGTATCTCTAGCAGAGTAGCTGAACTTTTTACATGGTGACTCAGGGTTCCCAAAAGTACAAACAGGGAAGCTGCCAGGTCTGGTGCCACATTCAGTTGATCAAAGCAAGTTGCCAGATTCTACATGGGAAGGGACTATATACCAGGAGGCATGGTTCATTGGTGGTCATCTTTGGAGTCTAGCTGTCACATGTGGACACTTAAAATATATATCAGGGATGGGCATGGTGGCATGCCTGTAATCCCAGCATTTTAGGAGGCCAATTTGTTGGATCACTTGAGGTCAGGAGTTTGAGACCAGCCTGGCCAACATAGTGAAACATCGTCTCTACTAAAAATACAAAAATTAGCTGGGTGTGGTGGCAAGTGCCTGTAATTCCAGCTACTTGGGAGGTTGAGGCAGGAGAATTGCTTGAATCCGGGAGGCAGAGGTTGCAGTGAGCTGAGATCCTACCACTGCACTCCAGCCTGGGCAACATAGAGAGAATCCATCTCAAAAAAAGAAAAGAAACAAAATTAAAAATAATAAAATAAAATACATATCAGAAGTCAATTTTTTTTATTTTAAGAATGTACTTTCTCAATTTGTTTCTACTTTTTGTCTCAATTTTTTAAGATCAGCTTTAGGTATATGGGAAATTAATAAAGTAATGAGCCTGGTGGGCAAGCTTCTAAAATGGTTCCCAATCATCCCTGCCTTCTTGTACTTCATGCTGTTATGCAATCCCCTTCTCTTGAGTGTGGGCTGAACCAAGTGATTTGCTTCTAACAAATAAAATACAGCAAAAGTGAGGGGAGATCAGTTTTTTAATGAATTGTAAAAGATTGTGACTTTGTCTTACTAGTTCATTCTCTCTCTCTCTCTCTCTCTCTCTCTCTTTCTTTCTCTCTCTCCCGCTCCTGTGACCCCACCTCTCAATGACACTCTCCTGTCTTCTTGGCTTACTTGCTGTATGAATTTGCTAGGGTTGCCATAACAAAGTACCACAAACTGGGTAGCATAACAACAGAAATTTATTGTCTCATGGTTTCAGAGTCTAGCAGTTTGAAGGTATTAGCAGGGTTGATTTCTACTGAGGGCTATGAGGGAAGATTCTGTCCCATGCCTCTCTCCTTGGCTTGTAGATGGCTGATGGCCAGCTTCTCCCAGTGTCTCTTCACATCATCTT